GGGGGAGAGCGGGGAGATTCCGTTAAGACAGGTTTCCGTTTTACACAGGTTTCTGTTAAGGCAGGTTCGACTAGTAATTGTAATAGTATGAGGTCTGCACCGTGGAACATTTCGCTCACATGACGAGACCCCAGCAGCAAATGACATGACAATAATGTTTATCAAGAAGAATGATCACTGACGTCTACGTAGACGGCAGTGGAATGACTGATTTCGGAGGGTCAAGAGCCATACGTAATGCTAGTAGATCTAGTAGTAGCTTCTGAATGCAATGTTTGCGGCGAGTGAGTGCCAATGCATACCTGTTTTTCATTGCTGTTCGTGACATCGTCTCACATTACATTTAACTGCAGCCGCATGTCTTATTGATTAGGGCCTAATCGAGCCCAGACTCTCCCAGATGTCTTGGTATTTAGCCGACGTCACTTTCCGTCCTCTACTCTGGTGCTCTCGATTGACCATTGTTTTCTTTCTTTTTCTTAAACTCTTGTTTGTCATGTGCTCTCAGTATTGATATTCTATTTGAATATGCATAATGTAACTTCGTGAAAAACTACAACTACAATTCACGATTTAAAAAAAAATCGTGTGCGTGTTCCTTTAAGTCCATCTTTGAAATTTGATTGTAATTTCTGTTCTGTCCTCAGAGTTCACCAACAAGACATTTAGGTACCCAACCAACAGACGCTTTGCACCATTGTCCTCCAGGTAATGTGAATGAGCATTTTAAATAGCTAGGCCTATATAATATAATAATGGTACGCACAGAATCGCGGTGCGGTTGAACCAAACTCGTTGAATGTAAACCCATTTGACTATTTTGACCCAGTAAAAAAATCGATGACCATCACAGCTGAAGGTGTTTAGTGATCTAGATATCTAGATCAGATCTAGATCTTCTAGTCTAGTGTTCTGCAATTTTCAAGGAACGTCGTGCCTTCCGTAGACAATGTGGAATTCAACCGCCAAGTGCCCAAAACATTCTTTGATGGCATCATATATATATTTGGGGGGGGGG